CTGGCTGGAAGAATTGCTTTGGTAGTTGCTGTTAGGGCTTGCCGATTTATTGATTGAACTGCTAGACCCAAAATTGCCACTCCCTGAAACTGAATGGTATCGAGGTCGATGTTGCTGATGTTGAGTGTTTTTTGAGGTGAATTCCACAACGGATTCGATATAATCCAGGCACAAGATGTCTGCCCAAGATTTGGGCGGGAAGCCCTCAAGAAAACCACAATGGCCGCCTTTGCTTGTTGCTACAAGAAGGAAGTTAGGGTAGCATTTGAAGAGGTCGTAGGGAATGTCTGAACATGCACTGACGGGGTCGTCCAAACTGTTCACACAGAGGACTGGCACCTCAATATCGTCCACATCTCGAACTGGGTTGTTCATTTCCCAGAATTGCTCCATATCGGAATAACCATAAAACGGGCAGTATACTAATTTATCGTATTCAGAAAACGTCCACGTTGATATGGCTTTATCAATGTCCAACACGTCCATGAGCGCTTTGGCGTGATGGCAGAGTAAGGATTTGAGCCGAAGGAGGAGCACCAGATCGTAGAGGTTGCTGACACGGGATGAGAATCTCAGAGGCACGTCGTAGCATGGGGAGATGCAGGTACCAACTGTGAGCAGCGCCGAAGAGCCAAATTCACCTGTGGATAAACAAACATAAGTTTAATGTTTTCGTTATATCAAAATCAGTACATAGGCGCTCATGCGTCTCCACAGATCACGATCCCTGTTTGCATGGAACAGCTCTCTTGATTATATCCCTCTATGTCATCGTTTCAGCCCATCCAACATCATCTCTCTTGGTCTGCCTCTACCCCTTTTTCCACCGATCTTTCCAGTTGTCACGATGTCCTCCAATGTACCTCTTCTCATTATGCGGCTAAGGAACAGTGTCTCTTTCTTCTTGTTGTATATAGAGATATACTTTCATTAGCTTTTTTCAAGCAATCGTTGTTAGTTACACCAGCCGTCCAAGGTATTCGTAACATTCCTCTCAGAAACCACATCTCTGTTGCTCCCAAATTCTTCCTAATTTGTTCACTGATATTCCAAGATTCGCTGCCATACAGGTTCTTTGAACATTGTAGCACCCTCTTTCTGATTGCCAACTTAGAGAGAACAACCTGCGATGTCACACATAGAAAGAGTACCATCGTGGTGCAGCTGTTAGACACTCGCCTGCCGATCCGAAGGTCTTGAGTTTGGGTCTTGACGAAGCCCGATTTTTTTTTCAAGGCTCCTGGGTCGATCTAGCCTTAAATAGGTACCAGGTAAACTACTGGGAAGTTAAGGCGGCCGGCATGATGTAGACCACAGCCCTCACTGAGTGCCGATTGGTCTATAAAATAATGACCCTGCCCTATATGCCCAATACAGCTGAATGCATGGAAAAGGGTATTTAAACCTAAGAAGGCATTCATCAAAGGAGGAGAGGCGCCTAGATCAGGAGGTATATCAGAAATAACATGGATAGATAACATCAGAGAAACTCTACAACAGTGCAATGTGTCCATAGTTGATAAGGCTGGAAGGACCCGATCCTGTGTTACATTTCTTTCACCGCGGTAATTTATTTTAAAAACCCGTTCTCGTGGTTTCTTGACAGTAGCACGAGATCTGCACCGTGGAGAGAATTGCGGCCCCACCGATTACATTATTTCCTCAAGTATAAGACGCACTTAATTTGGAAAACTACTGGGTCTAAAAAAACAGATTGTTAACCAAACGATTTGTTGAAAATATCTCATATGCGATGAAGATTATCATTAAAAAAAAAATAATAAACATTGTTTTACAATTGTTACATTAGGGATTCCTGTGTCCACTAAAATCCAACCACTTGATGGCAGCATTAACAAACCGTTTAAAGTTTCCACGAGAGGCGAGCAGAGCCAGTTGATGAAGACTTCTAGAGACACTATGACAACAGCAGGTAGAACGAGAACTACCAATCGTAAGAAAAGTTTGTGCCTTGAAGAAAAGATCTTAGGAAAATGAGAAGATTGAGATCGTTGTCAAGTCTTTAAAGATGGCTTTTTAAATGCAACAGGTGGAACGGACTGACTGACTGACTTTCTACCCCACCAGAACATCACACAAGCGATAAACACCCGATGACACAATGTGCCACCATGTGGGTGAGGATCACCGTGGAGAGGTCCCAAAAACCGCGTTCAGCCTTTAGGCCATATTTATGGCCAGGCTATATTGCGGCCCCTGGCAAGAGCCAGAGTAGGGGCTTCAAATGACGAACAAATTCATTCTAAAAAAGTACGGGAAGTGGGTGGAACAAGATAAAGAGCTATCACATGGATGAGAGTTTTGACATTTATGAGAAGTTTAAAAAATAAATAATCATTCTATGATGAATAAAACGTAGTAGTAGTACATTTTGCCCCACCAGGACATCACACAAGCGATCAACACCCGATGACATAAAGTGCCACCATGTGGATGAGGATCACCCATAGAGAGGTCCCAGAAACCGCGTTCAGCCATTAGACCGTATTTATGGCCGGTCTATATTGTGGCCCCTCGCAAAAACCAGGATGGGGCTTCAAAATAACGAAAAATTACGTCCCACAAGGGGATGACTAGTTATGAGAATAAAACATGATTTCAATAACCTTAAATAATCATATTTTTATGCGTCTTGTACATGAGATCGTCTTATAATTGGGGAAATACGCTAATATTTCGAAAGACTTCAATGTAGCCAACCTTTACTGTGGAGACGGTACATCATTTTGTTTTAAATAAAGGGTATCAGAAATGAGACCCGACGTACTAAACGGCACGTAGACACCACTTAATGAGTGCCGATCAATACCTGTAGAGGGCGACAACAAGCTTTAAAGCTGTATTTTCTTACTCTTGTGTTTTCTATGTTGATTCAAGCTGTCACATACTCACGTGTTTTGTAACTAAATCATCCCCCCTCTCTCCCACTCTCCGGCCTCTCATTATATTGTTTCTGCCTTTAACGGCCTTTCTGTCCATCCATCTGTCTAGATCAGTTTCATTCATTAACTATCTCTAGCGCGCTCTCTCTCGTGCTTATTCACACACTCTCTCTTGTTGTTTATCTTTCTTTTCCCTCTTTTCTGCTGTCTTGTTCATTCCCTCTAATGCAGTCTTGCTGTTGTTCCACCTTTCACGCTTGCTAGCGCCATTATTTGCGCTGTTTCACTCGATTTCTCACTCGTCTAAAGAGCTCTTCATCTAACTCTCTCCCATTCTCCTTCTTTCGCTCTCTGTCTTATCTTTTGCTGTCACATCAATCAATCAGGTGCCGTCTCCACAATGAGGGGTGCTGGAACGGATCTCCAACATGCGCTATACACTCTCGTATGGTTGTCTGTTTCTCTTGATGTTGTCTCCCAAATTTTCCGTCTACCCCTTGCTCTCTTGCCCTCGACATTTCCATTGATTTTTAGAAAAAAAGTGTTTGTTATGTGTTTGAATGTGGCTAAAACATTTCAGTTTTGTTTATTTCTATAATTCCCTTTTCATTCATAGGGTTTCTAGAACCTAAGTTTTTATGTTTCCAGAAAACGACTTATTCTTCTGTATATTCACATTTGCTGAGACTGAGTTAGATTGTCTAGTTGCTGTCACACAGTGTGTGCATAATGTTATAAAATGCAAAGCTACAATAAGCTACAAGATACATAACTACTGTGAACTATAAAGGCACCTGACTCGTTTTAGTATGAGCTTAATTTTTTACGGGGAAACACCTGTCACTCAACTCTTCCATCGTTCATCATCCATTATTTAGGCCAGGGCCATTTAGCCAAGGTTCTGCTTCTTTTTCTGCTTCATTTTTCTTCTTCTTCTTCTTCTTCTTCTTCTGCATCTTCTTCTTCTGCATCTTCTTCTTCTGCATCTTCTGCTTCTTCTTCTTCTTCTTCTTCTTCTTCTTCTTCTTCTTCTTCTTCTTCTTCTTCTTCTTCTTCTTCTTCTTCTTCTTCTTCTTCTTCTTCTTCTCTTTCTTCTTCTCTTTCTTCTTCTTTTTCTTCTTCTTCTTCTTCTTCTCTTCTTCTTCTTCTTCTTCTTCTTCTTCTTCTTCTTCTTCTTCTTCTTCTTCTTCTTCTTTTTCTTCTTCTTCTCCTTCGTCTTCAGCATTCTGAGCAGCTGAGGTTAATTGCTACAGATATCATCCGCTTCCATTCATCTCACTGGTTGGCCTTTTCTTTCCAGTTGGTAACACCAAGTGTTTACAGGTCTGTCATGATCTCTCCGTCGTGTTCCTGGTCAGCCTTGTGGTCTACGACCACACAGCTTCCTTGTGTATACAGTTTTTACCTTTTTTATTATCTGACATTCTTTTAGTATGCTCCAGCCATTTCAGTCTATCTCATGATGTCAATGATCAGTTGTGATATAAACAGAAATGTTGCTAAGCCTCTGCGGGCCAGATTGGGCTCACGGGCCGCTAGTAGAATAGCCCTAGTGTGGGCCCTAAAGTTCACCCCAAGCCGCTTTATCTCTTGTTATCTTTCCTGCTCACTACATCTTCTCCTCATATTATTAATGTCTTCAGAGTGGGGTTAACCTTTAAGCACCCTAAGCACGTGCTTAGGGCATCACAAAGGAAGAGAGCCTTCCCACCCTTTCCCACCCAAAAAAGGAGAGAGCTCGCCAAAAAATTTATGTAGCCTTGGAGCTTGTCATTTATTTTCTCGGTTGAAGTACATTAAAACAGCACAACAGAACAATAGTGCAACAAGGCAGGCTGGATACTTTATGTCTATAAATTAAGCATAGAAGCAGATGTGTTACATGCAACACGGCTCAGTTGGCAGACGAAACTTATCTCAACATTTTGTTTATCTAGTGAAAGGGGCGTGGTTACGTATGCAGCATGTAGCAAAGAGCAATAATTAATTACTGTTTTATTCCCATGTGGGTTGAAACGAATCCTCACCCATCAAAGGAAGGCCTGTCTTATACGCAGAAGTGTCAAAATAGACAAGTAACACATAGAAGAGAACTACTACTCAGCCAAGTAAGACATTTCCTATATGTAGCAGACAATCAATACCCAGTATGTAAGAGATTTATTATATGCAAAAGAGAACCAATACCTACCCAAGTAAGAAATGTCGTAGGCTTAGAAGAGAATCAATACTGTATTGGTTCAGGGGCCCTATTGTTGGTTGGTGGTGGGGGTGGAGGTGGGGAAAGATTCGCTGCCCCCTAACAAGCATGCCATAACAGTCGACCAATCAGGGATGTTTCCTTTGAAGTCGGAGTGCATCTGCCTCCGAGACGAGGAACCAACTGTTTGCTTTCAAATAAGTCAGACCTGTGAAACGGATGTGCGAGCAAAAGCAGGTTTTGCAGCAAGACTAAAGTTTAGAAGTGCACGAACAACCAGAAACCTCCGCTTCAGTTTACTGCCCGTGAACGGAAAGGAGAGGAATACGCACCTATTTAATGCAGATCCTAAATGTGGAGGAAAATCAATACCTCCCAGGTAAGACATTTCTTAAACATTTCTTAAAAAAAAAAAAGCGAACAGCACCCACCCAAATAAGAGAGAAAAGAATTAACTATTCTCAAAAGAGAATATCATCATCATCATGCGCCCTGCCAAATGGCGTAGGCGCTCATGCGTCACCACTGATCACGATCCATGGTTGCTTGGAACAGCTCTCTTGATGATATCCCTCCATGCCATCGTTTCAGCCCACCCAGCATCATCGCTCTTGGTCTGCCTTTTCCCACTGATCTTTCCAGTTGTCACGATGTTCTCCGATGTCTCTCTTCTCATTATGTGGCCAAAGAACAGTGTTTGTATCTTTCTTATTGTTGTATGTAGAAGTCTACTTTCATTTGAAGAGAATATATTCACACATAAATAAGATGCTACTGATACATAGAAACAGACTTCTAGCCCAATATCGCAGACGTGATGAAACGTTATTTGTTTTCAGCCAGCGTCGATGCTAATTCGCAAACCAGGAGTTCTCTGCCACCCACTGAACTGAGTGCTTCGTGTTGTGACCTGGACTAAAAATTGTGAGTCAATAATGAGTTGCAATTCTGGAGTAGGACTGTTAGTGTTCGCGCATCCAAAAGCTGCCTTATATATTTACTTTGCGTGTGCGATCTTATGTTCTTGTTATGATTTTGTTATAGAAAAATTCTTAGAATACCATGGATCAGGAAGAGGAAAAACATCGACATTCTGAACGAGTTAAACATCAAGGAGAACTGGCTCATAAACAGCATCCTGCTGAAGAATTTTGGCCACTTCAAGCATCATGGTAGCTAGGAAAAGACAGTGATAGAAGGTGCAGTTTGTGGAAGGCAAGGCAGGGGTCGACCACCGCGAAGATGGATAGAAGACATTGAAGATGCATTGAAAGCACATGCGGCCGGAGAGCTGGCTAGGAAAAGGGATACTTTCAGGCGTGCTGTGAAGAGAGCGACGTTCTGTAAAGAACTTGCTGATAAGATGATTGATTGATGGTGTGCCATCTTCAGGTTTATGCTGACCCTGACGTGACTTACCCACTTGTTTTCAAATGGGACTTTTGGGTTAATTTCCACAGGCACAGGAACGGATCAAGTTTGAAGTCTGAACAAAGGATCAACATCATGGCACACGGGTAGTAATCCATAAGTGCTTCGTTCTACTTCTAACTCACGTCTGAATCTGAAGTAGCTCAGCGCAGTGCACGGACTCCGTAGCACCGGCGAGGATCCTTAAATATTTTAAATAGATTTTTAATTCAAAATTTTGCCCGGGGAGCGCCGTTAAGCTACTTTTTTCAATTTTCAACTGCCAGGGATTTTTTACGTGCGCAGAAATACAAACGGGCATCCGATCATACTACCCAGAGACCAGGGGAAATTACTAGAATTCCACGTGAACAAAGAAAGAATTCCCAGCCTTCACCGGGGCCTGAACCCGGGACCTCTAGCACTCGAGGCGGACACCATACCTCGAGGCTGCAGGATTCAATCAAGGATCAATTGCCACCCTGATTTTAAATATTAGATATCGATACACAGAAACGAAAGAATACCCACCCAGATAAGACAGTAACAATCCGCAGCCTGTCCCATACGCCACCGCGGCCAACTGTGACTTGGGCATTCGCAGTTTGATGTATTTGATAACCTGTCGCAGATCTGAAGGATCGCCGAAGCTCTAGGAAGTAAAGTTAGCAATACTTATTCTGTCATTGATTCAGGCCAAGATATCAAAGAATGTTCATTGAATGGACAGGATTTTGCTGTTTATAATATAAGCAGAATGACCCGACATTGGAAACCACAAGGATCAAAGGAATCAAAGGAGATCAAAGGCACACACGGAAGGTAATTAGAGAGACAGATAAAGAAGGAGAGAAAGATTGAGAGAGAAAGAGAGAGATAGGAGAGAGAGATAGAGAGAGATAGAAAGAGATAGAGAGATAGATAGATAGAGAGAGAGAGACAAAGAGAGAGAGAGAGAGAGAGAGTGAAGGAGATGAAGGAAAATGT